TATGTATAGCCTGTACATCCTTAACTGTCACCCGTGAGCAGCTCGGAACATAAAAACAACCGAGAGAGAACAGAGCTGGCCAAGACATTTTTTCATGTAGTGAACCAAAAATTGCTTATGTCGCAGGAACCTTCGAATCGAATGCGAGGGACAAAGTGCCGAATAATATTTCCCATTAACTGTACACTACAATGGTAGCTGCCATCCACGTTATTAAACCATCTGCCAGAGCAAACATTTCACGCCGGTAATTGTGCTCACCGTCACTCGCAATGCGCGTGCCTTTACACGCAACAATAAATGCTCGCCGACCTCCCCTAACCGTTTAATATTTGTCGCGTGACGCGAACAGCAACGATTCCACGTTCGATAGCGGTCTGTTCTTTTCGAAAACTCCCCGCCGCGAATCGATTTAAAATTCATGAACCGACTAATCGCTTCGAAATATAAATAAATCCATTAAAGAACGAAGTCTGGCTGTCATCCGTTCTGGCTATCCCGAGATAGATAGCATCGGAATTAAAGTGATCTCGTACGAAATCATACAGCTCTCAGCGTTCGATTTGCGATGTCCTCCGCAACAATTTCTCCTCAATGGGAAATTTCACAAGAACCAGATAACCGGTCGGACGCGTCAGTCAATGGCGCGTGCGATATCCGTCGGAAATTCCGGATAACTCTGTCGGCGAGCAGATCGCGATATCGTCGCTGCGCGTGCACGCAGCAGTCGAAATTCGACCTGTATCTGGCTCCTCTGCCCGCCCGGGACGCGAAGTGCCTATCGAGGCTGATTTTTCGCGACCCACAATCGGCTCTGGCTGTCATAATTGCGCGTCGTGTCTCGCCGATTGACGCTGATTCCCCTCGTATCGCGACGCGACGTTTCGAATTCGCTCGAACGTCATTAATAGGATTTCGACGCGGCGAGGTTCGCACCATTCGAGGACAATGATGGTTACGGTTACGATAACGGTCAACGATAGCCGAGCTCCATTTTTGCAGAGCCAACGGCTAATGCGCCGCACGTAGTCATGAAAGATGACCCCCTGCGTTGGCAGTTCAATTGGAAAACGGGATATTATATGTTTCCAAGCTGATAGCCTTTTTTTTCTATTAATTGAATACGGACGAAAGAATAATAGAATTCCTTTTGCCGTCACGCTACATTTAATATGTTACGACTCAAAGGCGAAGAAGAAACGCGGGGAGACAAGGAAGAAGGCCAGGGCCATTTAACAGCCTCTGCCTTCGTGTAAACTGCTTTCAACGGAAGCTTTAAACTTGTCTCTTTGTCTTACCAGCCGAAACTGTCTCAAAGTTCCATCCTCTTTCCCTTCAAACCCAATTACATCGCTCCGTGTGAGAGAGGCCTGGAACTCAGCCTGGTTCTCCTATTTCGAAACTTGGCGAAAACGGTCGGACGTGCAAAACAGGAAACAAACAACACCCCTCGTGTCCTGTGTCGAGCCGCGACAGGCGTACAAAAACAGTGTCGATATACGGGGATTCGGTTTTTATCTGCCTTCACGGATCGAAGTTCGATTTCAAAGAACGGGGTAACAGATGAAATCCGAGAACAAACCGTAAATTACTCCTCTGACGGCGTAATATCTAGCCAGCAGTCGATTTCATTGAATACGTCCCGAAGTGGTGTTCGCGAATGACCCAAGCGCGCGACAAAATCCCAATGATTCTGCCAGTTCTATTTCGCTAACCCAAATATGATCGTCGTACACTGCAGACAGTAATTACAGAAGCAAACGCTGTTAATGTAATTGAATTTGTGCCAGAATTTATAATTTCCGAGGGAATTTACATTACGTCATCTGTACATTTATACAACAATGAAATTCGCTGATTGCTTTCACAGTTACACGATGTATCACTCGTCTCTATGTGCAACGTCACAGCGTATTGCTCTCAATAACGTTTTCGCGAAACTATAGCGCGAGTAATGTGTCTCGTCGAGGCAAGCTGACCCCGGCACAGTAGTCGCTGAAAATCGATCATTCGCGGGCCGGTAAATTCGGCGCGCAGTTGCGTTCTATTGCGCACGGTCACGTAAACGTGTACAAATAAGTAGCCTCGCTACCGTGACAAATCACAGAGGGAATTCGCGTATATGGAAACTAAGACGAATTTTCCATGGGGAAGCCGAAGCTTACAGAACCGTTCCGCAGCCGGCTGCAATCGAAACTTGGAACCCGACCGACGATATAATATCCGCAACGCGGCTCGACAGTTTCCCTAGTTCGAACACGGTTTTCAAAAGTTTTCGTCGGCGGTTGTCAACGCGTTACGAAATTCCTCGAGTTTGATCCCCGACCCAAGGGGAGGAACTTCCACTTGACAAACGACAGGAATTTCTTCAGAACAATTTTCCACGTCGTATAGAAAACGTTTTAATGTCGGAAAAAATATATGCTTCTTTATAAAGATCTATTTTTCACCCGACCACCGATGATCCGATTTGTTCATTAAAATTGTCAGTGACGAACTTGTCTAAACAACGGATACAACGTCAGAGTTCAAGAGATCAAGGGAATAGAGAATAGACTGTCTAAAAGAGAACGGAAGGGAAATGGAATCCTAATCCCCTCGTCACTTGTTTCATGAATTTTGAATTAACGTCCGCGTTAAATGGATAGTGTATCTACCTAGTCGCCGGGAAAAAGCGTCCGAGGTCTTTTTGCACTGTTTGGTAATTCGCACGAAGCACGATGACCAGAAACTTCGGGGGATGGATTAAATATTTAATACACGGGTTGGAACATGCACAGAGCGAATGGTAGGAATGGACTGATCATTTATTTGTAGAGGAAACAGCTCGTGCATCCGGATCGAAGTAAATCGTTTCCTCGAATGCAATAGAAAACAGGATTCGGCCAATTCTTGATTAGTTTCGTCTTATTAGTACTTCTCTAGTGGCATTGATAATGTATAGACATCCTGAGAAACAGCACGTTCTACAGAAGAAGTTATCAAGTCTTCAGAAAAAATCTAACAGGATTTAATCAAGATTTATTGTAAGTTTATCAAATTCTTGTAGGATCGTCCCTATGCAATTTCCTTTGAATTCCACTCGTTTATAAATAATTGACGATGAACGAACTAATTAATCGATTAGTCCTGAATTATTCGAGATAAAAAATAAAAAATAATTATTAGATATATATAGATCCATCCACGGTCTTTAAAGACAATGTGTCATGTCTTTGCGATATTCGTTTACTCAAATAATCGTCGTGTACAAGACACGAAATTCGCAAGGTGAATTAAATCTGGCAGACAAATACCGAAAGTGACATGGTGGCGGTGTTGGGAACGCGTAATGAACTAAACTGCGAGTTCAGAATACTGCTCAGAATTTCTTCAGCAATTAGTTTCTATTTTAGCCTG